CACATTGACATGCTAATCTCTTAAATTTACATACAAATTCCATCTCTAGCTCCGCCCACTTACCCTTGGGTTGAGCCCACCTAAAGTCTATATAACCTCGTGTTGCAGCAGCTCTTTCTTATGTGTCAGCAGTTCTCCTGCTGTGTTTGAATCACCTGATATCGGTTGCTTGTGTTACGATCGAAACGTCGTGATCCATTAATTTTCTATCTCCGTGACTTTACCGAAAGAACCAAAGAGTATACATAACATGGTTGACCAGCAGGAAATGATCCCTTAACCATAACCAGCAATCGATTAACCTCTCATTGTAACAGTACCAAATGCATTTTTGTAGGGCCAGTGAGGTTCTCAACACTATGTAACTATTGAAGATAATATCTTAATGTAAAGACAGTCCCAAGGTTATGGAAGGGTTAGGTTCCCAGGAACGATCTGTAACCCAAATATCCCATGTCGGAAACTGAACAATTTTCCCCAAAAATCAAGACGAAATGCCATAGCCAGAAATAGTTGTGCTGTCTCTACCCAATTACTCGTTGGTTTTTTCTCAGTATTGTATCGCGCTATAGTAAGTTTTCTATCACGACCTGTATCGTATTGCTGTACATACGTTCTGCACTTCCTATGATTCTTTCATTTCATCGAATATCTACCATAACACTATCCATAATTAAACTAATGTAATATATACTTATCCAATTATTTATGAACACCATGAGACATTCTGATATTAATTAACAGAAAACAGTCACTTCTGAATATTCGTTTACCAGGCAATAGGCTAGGCCTAAACCGCTCCGATTGCTGTTGGCCGAGATCATAAGCAATCGAAGTGCAATTGTGTTAAATAAAGTACATGACATAAATGACGTATGAAATAAACTTCAAATCAAAACTATCAAGAGAAACATGGGAAAAACAAGATAGTTCTATGCACAGAAAAACTAAATTACGTAATGCTACAAAAGAAAAAGAATTAGGTCATGCTACATAATAATTCATTTACCTTAATCTTTTGCAGTCATTATTGCAATGCAATTAAGGGTGATATTACACTGAAAGTTACGAGACAATGTGGCGGGTACAGTATACACATTGTAACAATGTAACAACATGATTGAGAGTGCAGAGCGGCTATACACCACCGCCTTGGGGAACATGCTGCCTGCTTTACGCCTCGCTCCGTGGTATTCATCCATAACCTCACCGAGTTGGACTACTTGCACCTAAGTAACCAAGGCAAACATTTCCGCATGTTGATTTTTTTACATGATTTATGAGAGCATTTCCGTAAGGTTGGATTTCCGTAAGTCGGGTCTTCCGCTACCCGGGGACTTACTGTAATGTATGTGGCCAGAGGGAATTTCTGTCACACGGCAACTTGAACAGGAAACGGCTCCGAATCCTTGTCACGCAGCATTTACCGGGCCTGCCCAAAATCATAAAAATCCTTAACGAATGTGAGCAGAGGAGCACGGATATCTAAAACAATGAAAAACCAAAAGCTGAAGCATCTTCATGATACTTAGGCCTTGATTACATCAAGAAAGCAGAGATCTAGTTTTTGAAAAAAACAATCGATAACATTTGTGCTGCAGCAGAAGAACAGAAAATACAGGAGACCTTTGAATATCACGGGGGTTACGTTCTTGGAACGTGCCGAGAAAGCCAAAACAGCGATACTTAAGCCTTACCGAAACAATGGAGTTAGGTAAACGGCAACCAAAAATACGCATAACAATTGAAATAAGTTCTTGACTGCATGCCAAATAAACTAAAAACAAAACAATTTAAATAAACAAGTAGAAACTGTATAGAGAAAAACATTCCAAGACAATAAATTGGATTATAAATACTGAATAAATACTCTACTTACAATGATGACAATGCGTGAGTGGAGAGTGGTAGTGCTTCGGGATAGCGTGCTACGCTATGAACCCAGCAACCCGAGTTCCTGGGAAGGCCCTGGGCCTTCCCAGGTCGACTCAACCTCAAATAAGTACCTGGTGTGATGTGTAAACATCGCCACTGGTGAAGGAATGGTGCTGGTAACCTATCCCCTTTATGTGCTGTGCCGACCTTTATAGGTGCTACTTGCGAACAGCACTTGCCCTAACAGTCTGTTAAGGCTACATGCTTGCATGGCAAAGGTTGAGGTGCCAGCGATTTCCTCGCGTTCCTCACCCACCCCGCCCTCCTTCTCAGAACAGTATACCCACGAAAGTGTAAATTGGTATACAAAGAGGTTGCCCGTGATAGGTCAAAACCGCAAAAAATAAACCCGTGATATTCAAGGGTCTACTGTATGACTTTTGCGCATTATTGCCCTGGCTTGAACCCACAATGGGGCTTTGCAAGCTTCTTCTCTGCAGGTCTGGCAAGCTGAATATTTATTATCTGGCAATCAGTGTGGTCGAATGTTAGATCTTCGTCCAATCCAACAGAGATTATCGTTTAGTCTATGTTGTTTATATAATGTTCCGTATTGCAACCTGTGTAAAATCGCCACCCTCCCTCAGCACCTTCCTTTGGAAGTCCATTATGCCCGGCACTAAAACTGCTCTTAAGACTCTGGGTTGCCCAAGCTGTGCAAATGTCACCAATCACAATATTCTGGGTTCACACTTTGTCACCAGAGTTTTGCACCAGCCAACCACTGACAGTGTGGTTACTTCCTGGAATATTTAAGGCATAGCAAAGCAATCCCAAAACACGCTCTACAAAACCAGTAATACTAACAGAGGCTAAAAATGCAACAACAAAAAAACAAGGTTAAGTGTTAACTGACACTCGCAGTCAAATAAAATACATTAACACACATGAGCATATTCCAATGCACACACATACACACAGTTGCCCACAACAAAGACTCCCAATATAGCCTTAACAATGAGTTCAGGAGGAGTGGGTGGATGGCCAGCACCACACTCGACCGCTTTTGTTTCCCCAGTGGCGATGTTTACACACTGCACCAGGCACTCATTTGAGGCTGAGTCGATCTAGGAAGGCCCAAGTCTAGAAATGAATAAAGTACATCGTCCAATTTGCAAAGAGATACCTAATGCAAGACAGCATTAACCCAACATTATTGTGGTATATTTTACCATAAACATCAAGCCTGTATTAACCACGTGATATTTTTATTTACAAGAATATTTTTTCCGTAGATTTGCTCTTTATTTGACTTGTTATTAAATCATTAATCCGAAAAAATTTGCGACGTGCATCCGATTGTCTATGTGAGTCTGTGGGTCTGTGTGCGATTCTTTGGGTCTCTGTGTGAGTCTGTGGGTCTCTGTGCGAGTCTACGGGTTCCTGTATGACAGGGACATGCGGTCAGGGGAGGCACAGCCTTACCAGTCATACTACAATGAAAATAGCTGTTACGAAAGGTAAAAAATAATAAAAGAAAAACTACGATTTTTCCACTGATCTGTGTTATCTCATTTCTGTACGATTCCAATATATTTTATAGTCAAAATCGCCAAATTTGCGGAGCTCCGCTGCAAATACAGGGAGAAGAGAGATGATGCAGCGGCGTGCTCAGCCTCCTCTCTGATCGCGTAACCCCTCAGAAACTGGATGGAGCGCGGACAATAAGCTCATGCCTGTTACTATTTCTCTGTAATGATTGGAATCAAACAGAAATTACATTTATAACACAGATCAGTGGAAACATCTTCATTTTTTTTGTAACAGCTATTTTCATTGGAGTATGACAGGCGAGTCTCCGCCTACCCTGACCGCACGTCCCTGCTGTATGACTGATTGTCTTAACAGTTTCCCAGATGTCACTGCCCAAAGGTTTGGAACCACGTATCGTCTTTTGGCATCTCAATTCTGCCATCTATAACCTCATTTATACGGACTCTATTATTAAAATCACTAAAGTTTTAGTGGGAATGTAATTTTACAACAGAATTTCTATTAAGTTTGTTTTGTAAACCTGTAATTTTGGAATGCGTTGATGTCTGCCCGCCAAGTCGCACTTAAAAAACAGCGTCTAAACTCAATGGGTGTTACTCGTGAAATTCACTTCTGATTGTGAGTTAGTGGGTGGGTGAGTTCGCCAGTGAGTGTGGGTGAGTGCGAGGGTAAGAAAGTGTGTGATTAGGTGACTGTGCTTGTGTGGGCGAGTGGATGGATGAGTGAGTGAGCGAGTTCTAGAGTGGGTGGGTGGGAGGGTGGATGAGGAGATGAGTGGACGGATGAGTGAGTGGGCCAGTGAGTGAGCTTGATGTCTGCCGGCTGAGTCGCCCTTGAAAATAAGCGTCTTACTTTAATGGACTTCACTCGGGAAATTAACTTATTCTGACCCTGAAATAAACTTATGGACTGGTATCGTTCAAATATTGCAATGCTGAACAAATGCCTCCAGTTTACTCAATCTGGAATACGCGAATAAGCATCGCCCCTCCCCCCGACTGCCAAACCAACTCGGCAGGACGCTCCTGAACTGAAGTAAAGAGACTCGGTGTGATAAAGCATTCGAGTGTGCACCACGCTGGCGAGATTTTCACGACATCGTCCGGTATAAAGGAGGTCGTGGGTTGGATCCCGACGCTGACGCGTGTTTATTTGGAGTTTGCGTGTCTCTCTGCGTGGTCGCGAGGATTTGAACTCCGCTTTTCCCTTCCAAATTTAGAAAAATGAGTTTAGAGCATTTGGCTGCTGTAAATTTCCACACGATGACAAGCCACTTCGTTGTGAGAAGGTCGCTTCTGAAGGAGATAGTTCAAAATAGTAGAAATATAAAAAAATGTTTTAAAGTAGTCAGCCAGGTGAGCAGAAATTAAAATTAACAAAACTTTAAGCAAATATGGCAGGAGGCAAGGCCAGCGTGGCTAGGCCACACTTTGTAACGTTCCAACCTGGACATCGATTCCACACTCGCTGCTACACTCAGTGATATCCCCAGCAGAACAATAGAAGAAGCGAGGCTGCACCTCAATAAACAAAAACAACCACCACCAAAAACCACGACGTGAAATTCTCACCTCGGATCTCAGTTGAGTGGCGAGCAGCTTTCCGGTATTTCGTGACGTCACGCGGAAACGCGAGGCGGGGGAGATGGCATGACGTCACTAACGAGTTTACACACCCCCTGGCGTCTTGCGACGATGACGTCACGTGGAGAGGAAAAGTGAGAGAGCTAGCACGGTGAGGAGTGGTATTAAGAGTTTAAGTTGATTTAGATTCCTTTTACATTTCTTCCTCTGTTGCAGAGGGATCCCTTGTGTGACACCACAATTTTTTCTAGATTTGAAGCTTTCGTGACTGCAAGGATTCATATTCTTAGGTTTTTTTCCGGTAAAGTCACGTAGGTAAAAAAATCAAAATAAAAGTAAAATAAAATAAAAACCACGACGTTTCGGAGGCAACACAAGCTTCCGTCTGCAGGTGGAACCGTCACAGCCACAACAGCTGTATCAAGTAAATGAGAGATTACAAGAGCTACCACTCCGTATATATAATGGTTGAAGAGGGGAAGGGCCAAGCACAGCACACTTTTTGTTAATATGGTAAGGTGAGGCTTAAGACTAAGAATAGACTGCATAACAAAAGGCTGAGCCTTTGTTATGGAGAGGTACGGTTTGTGACTACGCCTAGCCTACATAACAAAAGTGTGAATAAGTATAACCCGTAAAAACAAAGTTTTTCACTCTAAATCCTTTATATGCGTGGCGGCTAGAGTCCTCTCGTCCTCTGGCTTGAGATGGCTGCAATCTATGGGTCAGATGATTGTCTGCCAGTATTAAGCAATTGGTAATTAAATATTTAATTTGTTTTCCCTAAACAGTGTCAAATTTTTGAAAAAAAATTTCACGAAAATTAATTGTCACACACAACGAGTCTGTGTGGAAAATGTCAGCTCGATTGGATCACGGGAAGTGGGTTAAAAAACGATCGAAAGATTTGCACGGTCCTAAGCAAGCAAGCGAACTTAATATAAAGGATTTTTAAAAAAAACTAAACCTGGTAAAACAAGCCTGGCTGTCTATCAATAACCTGTAATAGTTTTCTGTCAAATAAAATGGTCCAAATAAGTGTAGTTAAATATTTTTTGCATGGTTAATCACATCTTTCCAATGATTACTCAGTTTGTAACCATTATCACGGTTGAAATTATGTCTGTGTTTGTATATTTGTATGGCTTCGTGTACAAACCTTTGATGGTAGCCAGGAGGTTTGCAGAGCACCTTGGTCTCGGAAAAGACAATTTCATGAGAGCCCACAGAGTTGTAGCAATGATCGGCAACGGCCGAAGAATCAGTTCTGCCGTGTTTCAGATCTGACTTGTGCTCGCGGACACGATCAGAAACATGACGTTTCGTTTCTCCAATGTAGCAATCACCACAAATGCAACTCAATTTGTAGACTCCAGGATACTGTAAGTCAGGAACGACATCCTTCACAGATGGAATCAGATCACGGATTTTATGCACTGTACTGAATCGGACTTGGATCTTATGTTTGTTTAGAATTTTGGAGATCTTTTTGGTCATGCCTGCTAAGTATGGTAACGTGATAGTTTTGGTCGGAGTTTCATGTGGCTGTTTCTGTATGGTGGGAGAAACAGCTTGGCGGATAGTGCGGTCAGAGTATCTGTTCATCCTGAGGGCCCGATGTATATGTCTTAATTCACCGGCCAGGTGGTGTTGGTCAGAAATGCCATGGGCTCTGTGGTATAGCGTTTTGATGAGAGAATTCTTTTGAGATGGGTGGTGGTGGGAATCCGGTTTCAAGTAGGAATCTGTGTGGGTGGCTTTCCTGTCGACAGAATGTCCCAAGGATCTGTCAGGTCTCCTCTCAAACAGAATATCCAAGAATGGTAGTTTACCATCTTTCTCCACTTCCATGGTGAATCTGATGGATGGGTGTCTAGAATTGATGTGGTCCAAGAAGTGGTTCAATGCTGGGAGGCCATGTGGCCAGATGACGAAAGTGTCATCCACATACTTCTTCCACAGGGAAGGACGCAGGGTGGATGTCTGGATGGCGTCTGATTCAAACTTTTCCATGAACATGTTGGCTATAACTGGTGACAAGGGGGAGCCCATAGGGGTACCCTCATTCTGTTTGTAGAAGGTGCCATTCCAGGTAAAATAGGTGTTGGTGAGGTAATGCCTAACCCGTGCAGGTACATCAGAATTCAATCTATGTTGGACTAAGTCCTCAATTATTGTTAGGGTGTCCGGTACTGGGACTTTGGTAAACAAAGATACTACATCAAAACTGACGAGGATGTCATCAGGAGATAGTACCATGTCCTTAACCATAGAGACTAATTGGGTTGAGTTGAGTACTGCCGAAGAGGTCTTGCCTGTGAAATATTAAACGCCAATGTGCAAGAAAGAGGTCACGGGACATACCCAGGTGTCATGGGTTGACTAAGATGACTGGCCGATGTACCACCTGTGCCCCCTACTGTGCCAACTGTCTGTGTTTAGCCACCCGGGCTACTATCCCTCATTTTTTATGTATGGGAGGGAATATGATCGATTTCCAGTTGCAGGCCACGCCCGCCCCGAAGGTGTCCAAACTTTCGGACACAATTCCGTTCACGATGGGGAAACTTTCCGAGGTGCAGGAAGCCGCCGGTGTTAACTCTCGGACCAGGCAGCTGGCCAACTAGCAGCTAAAAGGTGCCAGTGTTTCCCTGTGCGATTGGTCGCCGGGGAACAGGGCCTAGTTGCATTGTCCGCAGGTGCCAGTGGGCACATCACTTAAATTGCTGCAACCTTGGAGAGGGCTGGTTAATGTGGTTCGGGTCGCGCAGCCGAAGTGTGTCCAGGTTCGGTTTGGTAAGCGGAGCTGGTTTGTGCACCCCTCTCGCATAAAACCGTTCATCACGCTGTGTAAGTTTGTTTCATCTCCATATCGAAGGGGCCGAGTGTTGGGTGTGCCCAACGAGTTGGGGCATGCGTCTGCCAATACGGGTCCTCAGGAGTGTGTTTCTGTTCCGCCCCCAGGCGTCGTGCGACTGATGCCTCGCACACGGCCGCTCGTGTCAGCTTCCCGTGCTCAGAATGCTGAGGACCCGACGGCCCGGCCTACTGCTCTTCGTGAGGAGCCGGCTTCATCGGGTCGATTTCTTGCCCCTCCCCCGGCCCTCCCAAGGCGGTCGAGCCCAACCCGTTTGGAGGACCGGCATCACGGACTCGTTCAAAGACTCGATTTGCATGATCCCCGCGCATTGCACACTCCCACACCGTCATGGGCTGTCGCGCTCGCGTGAGTCGTGGCGAGTATTTGGCTGATCCTGATCGCCATCGAGCCCATGGGCGTTGTTACACATTGTGGGTGGGAGATGTTGATTGTGGGGATCTCGTGCGCCGCGGTTGTTTGGTTCGACCGGTCGTTTTTCTTTTGGTCTGGGTGTATATATTGTACAGTTGGGTTCGGCAAATTATTGCTTTATGTTGTTGGAGCACACATGTTATGTTAACTATACGTCGGTTGCTTACTTTGGGGGAAGTTGGCAGCCGGGATGGCTGAAAGCTACGAAGGGTGGGGGGGGGGGTGATGTAGAGACTGTACTTGTCACTGTATGGTGCCGGGGCTTGCAAAGCCATGGCCGGTATTATGTTGTCATTACGGGCAGCCCGGGTTACGGGATGTAGTACCAACACTAGCGGGGCTTGGGTGAGCGCTGGTTAGCGCGGAGGCACCGTGAGCAGCGTACGGTGCGGGCTCCCGGTGAGGGAGCGAGAGGGAGCGTCAGCCAGCCAGGGTTACCTTGAGGCATGATACGCTGGTTGACCTGCCGTCACGTGACCGGTGGACGGGGGCCGTGGGATGGTCACATGGTCCAAAGGAGCTCTCGAGAACCTTCGAGAAGGAGCTCGAGAGACCTGGAAGGTGGGCGGGGCGTAGGGCTGAGCCAACCCCAGCCCGTGGGCATATAACCAGGGCCCCATGAGGAGCTCAATGTTCTTGGTGTGCTGGTGTTATGAAGATCCACGTTGGGGAGAAGAAGCCTCTAGCCACGTGGTCCGGGACCCCGTTTGTGATCCGGACCGGGATAGCGAACCGTGTCTAGTTTTGCCGTAGCGTGGTTAGATGAACATTCGAGACCCGAGTGTAGATCGTGTTGTGCTGCGTATTAATGTGTAATAGTGTTGCTCGCAAGATAGCGTCTGCAGAGTACCTTGGTCTCGGAAAACACAATATCACGTGAGCCCACAGCGTTATAACAATGGTCAGCTATGGCAGAGGTATTAGTTCTGCCGTGTTTCAGATCTGCCTAGTATTCGCGGACACGGTCTGAGACATGTCGTTACGTTTCGCCAATGTAATTGCTGCTGCAGGTACAACTCGGTTTGTGACCATTGTTTGTGACCATTGTTATAACACTGTGGGCTCACGTGATATTGTGTTTTCCAAAACCTTCGGGCTACTATCAAAGGTTTGTTCATGAAGCCATCCGGATATATAAACATAGACGTAACTTCAACCGAGAAGATGGATACAAATTGAGCAATCATTGGAAGGATGTTATTAACCAGGTAAAACCCTAACTGCTTTATGGTTGTCATATCTGCCGGGTACTAGTCTATTTTTACAAGTTAACTCCCCCCTCGCCCCCACATCCCCAGCTCTCTCGGCCCCCCACTTCCAGCCCCACCCAATTCCCCCCGTCCAGCTTCACGTTTCTCTCCTAGCATCAACATAGCACCCCCCCCTCTCTCCCCCCTTGCCCCTCCCCCCTCTCTTACCTATATATCCTCTTACCAAGGCATCTCTCTCCCAATTCAGCACAAAAATATTATTGCTGTGGTTTTCCTACCTCATGATGATTGCTTGTGTTGCAATCGAAACGTCGTGATTTATTTTATTTTATACCTACGTGACTTTACTGAAAGAACCAAAGAGTATGGATTCCTGCAGTCACGAACGCTTCAAATCTAGATTTAGGTTGTGCTCCTGACGATTGATCCTTTGGTTTAACCGGACTGGATTACAATGCTAGAAGCTCTCAAATCCTTGTGATAGCTGGACATCATCCCCATCAAGGCTGCTTCGCCTAGTTCACGCAACCCGTATGCCCAGCCTCCGCATTGGCAAGCATTGTTTGATGGAGGGGCTAAACGGGTATGGTACAGGCTAGAGAAGAGGTGGGCTGATGTGTCAGAGGATGTAGAGCTGAGTGGATTTACCAATGACTGGTACCAGAGGTGTAAAGATAGGCTTCTATAAAGGAGGTTCCTGAAGAACACTCCTTGGCTCTTAGAGGCAGTCGCCCTCCAGCAAAAAGTGGAGGGTGGAGAATCGACGCTCACAACAACCGAGAGCCGGGTAGATAAAATTCAGTTAGGTGGCACAGTGGTGAGCACAAGTGGTACATCTGTCATTGAGTGGGTTAGTCGGTGAGTTGGCACAGTAGGGGTCAGGCTCATCCATCTGCCTGTCATCTCAGTCAGTCAACCCCGAGATCTTTTTTTGGTTAGATCACGTAAATATATAAATGTGTCATTAAAACCCACCACCACCCGACACAGCCAACGAGATAGGGTTGTCAAGTAAACAGAACATGGCAATTCGTCACTAGTACAGGACAACAGTGTGTTGGATAGCCAATCCACAACATTTACAATCTAAGTACGATGTTTCGCCAGTATTTACAACTAGCTTCATCAGGCGACAGACAGATTTGTGGAAAAGTCCACCTGTTTTGTTCTTTATATAGAGGCGTAGATGTGGTGACCACACTTCTGCGCTCTTGCGCAAAGTGGGTAGGGGGGATTACTGTGTCAACGTTCATTATGCATATGCATTATGCGAGCCCTTTGATCTTGTCCTTCCTGTCTATTGTGTATTAAAATAGCCGCACCCACGGTAATCCCTACTGAAGTATGCTGCCCTTTATAGACATGCATTTATATAATGTATTGGATGATTTGCTTCCACGCAGCACTAAGGCGGTAGCTATCTGATCAAGAGTTCGCATAATGCACATGCATAATGCACGTTGAAACTTAATTTGGCGCTTTCGTGACTGCAGGAATTATTTTTTGTTTTTTTCGGTAAAGTCACGTATAAAGATAAAATAATAAATTAAATTAAATACTAGCATACGACGTTTCGATTGCAACACAAGCAATCATCATCAGGTATAAATTAAATAGAAACACAAATCTAGTATACTTAGAAATTTAATGTAATACAACAGAGAGTCGGATAACATAACAGCCAACACCCTATCTGGTTGATTACGTTCTTCCTGAGAATGCTAAATTTGAGAGAGAGATTAAACACAGAACCAGAAACATAGACAGACATATAAGCAGACAGATATCGCAGAGATACATAGAGAGAGCAAACATAGGCACAAAAAGAAACTACGCCTCTGTGTCGAGGCCTCTCTCCCCGCCCCCGCTTTCTCTATTTAAGGCCTCGACAGAGGCGTAGTTTCTTTTTGTGCCTATGTTTGCTCTCTCTCAATGTATCTCTGTGATATGTCTGCTTATATGTCTGTCTATGTTTCTGGTTCTGTGTTTAATATCTCTCTCAAATTTAGCATTCTCAGGAAGAACGTAATCAACCAGATAGGGTGTTGACTGTTATGTTATCCGACTCTCTGTTGTATTACATTACATTTCTAAGTATACTAGATTTGTGTTTCTATTTAATTTATACCTGATGATGATTGCTTGTGTTGCAATCGAAACGTCGTATGCTAGTATTTAATTTAATATTTTATCTTTATACGTGACTTTACCGAAAGAACCAAAGAATAATGCACGTTGACTCAGTAATGTCCCTCCCCCCACTTTGCGGAAGTGCACAGAAGCGTGGTCACCATATCTACGCCTCTATATAAGTGTAATGGGTTCGATTGAAGCACACACTCAATTTGGAGGCAACACTATTTATTAACACGTAACAACCAACTTGAACACTATACATAAGCTGGTGACCACCGTTCCTAATTTAACTAACACTTGGGGGGGATTACTACAAAACGTGACCAGGGCAGGTTAACAGGCTGCCTGGTCACGAAGATTGGAGACTCGAGGACCCCTGATGGTGTCTTCATCCCGGGGTTGAACAGCTCAGCTCTCTCTTCACACCCCGTTTATAACTGCTGCGGCGTGGCCGGCCCCACCCTCCTTCCCGATCCTTCGGGAAGGTCCGGGCCCCTTACCACCAAGCTCCCCCGAAGGGGTCCCGAGCCCCACTATGTTCAGTCAGGTTCACGCAGTGTCACGGCCTGACGCGACCTCCGTGATACCCCGCCTATAGTACACAGAGCCAACACAATAGTGACGTCATGTCACTACGCTCGTACAGTCCCGACACAGTAGTGACGTCATATGTCACTACATAAGGAACGAAACATATTGACTTGGCTGTCGCCTGATGAAGCCAGTTGTAATTACTGGCGAAACGTCGGACTCAAGATTGTAAATGTTGTGACTTGGCTCTCCAACACACCAGTGTGCTGTACTATTTACGAATTGTCATGTTCTGTTTACATGACAACTCTTACTAGTTGGCTGTGTCGGGTGGTGGCCGGTTTTAACGACACATTTATATATTTATGCGATCTAACCCAAAAAAAATATTATGGATATTCGTCACGAAAGCCTACGTGTTAAACTGACATACACAAATACAGGGTGTTCGAAAATGGACACAATTTCGAAGCAGTATATTTCACGATGGCAACATGTTACAATTACACAAAAAGTTACAAAGGGTTTCATGAATTATCAAGTTTTACTAACCATTTGATAAATGCTCTATGTGCCCTCCACCTGCTGTATGGACAACATCGAGACGATAGTTGAATTCGTCCCAAACGCCTCTCAGTGTCTTCTCCCACTGAAGTCACCGCTGCCGTGATTCTGTTTTTGAGGTCATCCAGATTAATCGCCAATAGTAGCACAAAAACACGGTCGTTGATGTATCCCCAGAAGAAAAAGTCGCAGGGTGTGATGTCTGGGGGTCTTGGGGGCCAAGAGTGTAGCGCCAAGTCTTGGGGGCTCCCGTGCGACCTATACAACGTTGAGGCAGTGTGTCTAGCGAATGACTGAGGCTAGAGGCTGTTTGTGTGCTGGGAGAGGCATCTTAGCAGTAATCATTTGAAACTATATGCCCCACCCTTTCAAGTGGTAAGAGATTCATTCATGGGCGGTTCGTAGTTGCAGAGATTTAGAGATTTCAAATCGGGTCCAACTTTTTAAAACACCTTGTACTAAGCTATTATAAAAAAGCCCGGCGTTCCGTTTGTCTATTTGTCCATCAACAAAATAATAACAGCCTTTCTGAAGTCTTGAATCAAAAAGTTATAGCAAGGGGGGGGGGGCATAAAAAGTTGATGTTAAGGTTTCCAAATGTTTTCGACCCCCCACCCATTTTATTTATTTTGCAGGCATATATACCTACACACCCTACATACAACTCTACAGTCGTATCTTCTGAATCTAGTCGTATCGACTGACTATAGTAGTAACCACTGACTCTATAGTATCTACTGATTCTATAGTAGTATCTGACTACAGTAGTGTCTCCTCACTATAGTATCTACTATTGTAGTAAACGCACACTGGGGTGGGGGGGGAGAAGAGGACATCACACTGTTCAGGATTTACCTTAGCACGTACTTGTGCAGCAGTAATTGTGCTTTATTTTTTTTGCTATTTTTTACGTGAAGGAGAACCTCCCTCCCGTCACCGCTTAGAAAGCTTGTTTGCGTTGCTAGGGGGCAACAGCGAGTTGGCGTTTCTATGCATGCGCAGATACGCGCTTTGGCACATGTTATCATTATGATCAGCGTACATTGTTACAAAGTGTGATTTTATTAGTTTACATTGGACTAAGGGCAAAAACAAATAGCGAGTTTTCGTCCAGGGGCTTAGTTTCTTGAATGTGTTCTTTGTTGAAACGTAAACCCAACAGTTCGTCAGTTAAAGCGTTAAGATAGGCGCACGCAGGCAGACAAAAAATATCACGTTTATTAGGTAAGACAACATAATTAGCGTTGTGGAGAAAATATCTCCTTTACGTAACATTTCATTGTTTTCCCTTGTATCTTACCTATAAACGTCATTTTTTGTCTGTCCGTCCGTCGACGCACACTTGCGAAGGATTTGGCTCACAAACCGTGGGGTTTACACTTTAAAAAAAGTAGACCGGTATCACACCGTAAGTCGTGGTGAGCTAGTGGTATTCCATTTTCCCATCTGTCAACTATAAAGTAGTTAAATTAACAATTGAGCGCAATTCATTATTCTTTAATTAATTTATCGCGCCGCTCCGCGAGCACTCAAGGTGCCCGAGGGTTGCCCCTAGCAACACACACGCGTCATCGGTGGAGATTTCTCATTCGCGTTCAAAATGCAAAAAAAATACACAACGCTGATGTGAATTCATCAAAGTGTCATGTCCTCTTCTCCCCCCACCCCCACCCAATGTGTGCACTTACTACTATAGAAGCGGTAGATACTAATATTATTGCGCTTAGATAGTATTATTATAGCGCGGGTGGGGGGATGGTAGGGGGGGTAGCAGGCCCAGCCCTCAGCCTGCCTAGGTGCCACCTCGCCCGGCTGGGCACCTCGGCCGGGGGTCTCTGCACGGGACTAGGCCTCACCACAGCAAAGTTAACGCAGTACTATTTTCTTGCTTCTTTCACTAAACTTCCGTAGATAGAAAACTAATATTTAAAACATCAGTTTGGAAATATGAAAATGTTTGTGTGTAGACAACTAATATTTCCAAATTAAGTTGGCAAATATTAAAATGTTTTCTAAGTCCATGTGTGCGCGAGTCGATATGCGTGTCTGCGACGATGTGTGTACGTCCGTGTGTATATATAAGTCGATATGTCAGTCGGTTTAAGTTGATGTGCTTGTGTGTGCGTCGATGTGTGTGTTAGTCAATGTGTGTTGCGTGGTGTGTGTAGACAATATTTTAAAATTAAGTTGGTACATTTTAAAATGTCTAAGTCCATATGTGCGTGTGAGTCCATGTGTGAGTCTATGTGTGCGTGAGTGGACATGTGTGCGTGAGTGGACATGTGTGCGTGAGTGGACATGTGTGCGTGAGTGGACGTGTCAGTCGTTGTGTTAGGTGCACGGGAGAACACACTGAGATGCCACTCGTGCGTGCGGCCGCCATTTTGTGCACAAGCAGGCCAGGATTCCCACCAAACTCATTCTGCACCTTGGTGCGCTGCATACTGGCTCGACCTTGAAGAGCGAATTCCTTGAGCCAGTACATGGGTCGACCTTGAAGCATTACTTCTTTGACCCAGGATGTTGGAAGACGTCCAAATAGTACTTGAGATGCGTGCTTGGATGGGCACTTATAAGGTTCAGACCTCGCCCTATCACCACCTGCTTGACGGGATGGTTGCACGGTGGCATGAGACCTGACGTTCATGTTGTGTCAATGAGTTTGTGTAGACCCAGTCTGATCGCCGTGTTGTTGTGCATCCGTCGCGTTTGAAACCGTTTTATTTATTTTCCCTGCCGGGTGGGATCTCGTCATCCCCACTACCCAAGGGCCGGGTGATTGATGAGTCCGACGAGCTGGGGAGTGTGTCTGCGGAGTTCGTGCCTCAGGGGTTTTCCGCCCACAGGATCCCAGCACCTGGTACCCTTCCAAGTTGCCGGTTGTGCCAACCAGACGTGAATTGAGGAGAGTGAAGCAGCCGTCACCCACTCCTGCTTCTCCCATTTGTTCTTCTTCCCGGGAGAGGGCGCACCCATTGGCCCTTCTTCAAGTCCGCCCGTTGAAAGGACCCTTCCCCCACCATCTTATTTATCCCTACGTCGTTGGAGATCGCATACACGATCACACACACAGGATCACCCACAAGCCAGATTGTGCTGCTGGTTGGACCTGGTCCTTCATGTGCTCGTGGGTTGTGACATGCTTATGGGTGTTGTACATTGTCTGTGGGTTGTGTTGGTCATGTGTTCGTGGAAAAAAAATGTTGGTGTTCCTCCGTTGATGTACATATTGTCTGGGCGATGGTTGCTGCTTGCTTTGTTGTCATTGGGTTTTTTGCTATTGTTACAGAAAATGTTGGGAGGCTTATTTTGTTGTTGTTGGTTGTTGCTGTTATTGTTTCTGTTAGTGGTGTAGTAATCCGCTGGGAAGGCTGTTTTAGAAAGGGGGGGGTGATATAGTGACGTAAATGGTGTCACTCAGGTGTTAGCGCCAGCTGCTGTTACAGGAGTGCAGCTGTACGTCTGGACCAGAGTGGGTACGGCATGTCAGCCAGCCCTAGGGGGCGTGGTCCTGGTGGTGGCCTGAGTTAACCTGGGATGGCGCGTGATGCTCGGCCGAGATCCTACGGGAAAGGTCTCGAGGGGGCATGGCCGAAGGCAGAGCAAGGCCACGCTTAGGAGCATAAAGGAGCAGTACCGAAAGAGAGCTTGGCTAGTCTGTGGGTCCCGCATCTCGTCGTCTCTGGGTCTTCATCTAGAGTTAACTCGCTACTCACATAGTTAGCCACATCACCTCAGTGTTACCCGTGAGGGAAGTTGTTAAATAAAAGTGTTGCCTCCCAGTCCAGAGTGTGCCTCCGCGTTGGTGAACAACACTACACGTGTTAAAATTATAATTCAAAATGATCAAGAGATACACCGCCAACATTGAATAATTGCATTGAAGTATACTACCTTACATCGGATTAACTGTACACTGATCTCTGAATGTATGCCTACACCTGCATGCATTCTTAGAATGAAGAAGCCAAGTGATAGCACGGTTCACATCTGTCCGGTAGCCCTCATGATTACTGCAGCTATAGACCAAAAATATTCACCATTTGATTAAGTGGATGTTCAACATTCATGGTGCCAGGGTCAAATTTTGCTCGATTTTCGAAAGATTAGCCACAAACGACCAGACTGGGGTTACACATCAATCATCGCTCCACCCTACTGGCAGACTCGTGTCCATGTGCAGGTCGGTACTGAGTCACCTTGTTCCACAAAGGGACAGCTGCCACTTGGGCTAGCCGTCAAATGATTGAGATGAAATATGAAACAAGCCGCTTTCAGTTACCGAAGCATTTCACCTTTGAGTAGCAAGATTGGCTACGCACAGTGGGAAAGAAATAAAATATTTATGCAAGCGCCAATTATTAATCTAAATATTATAACGCGTTAAATGCTATGGAGCTTTTTTGTCTCCAGCTCCTGCTTACAGATCTACCCAATCTCAAAGTCCACACATGCTGGCCGCTCCTACTCTGCATCCTCCAACAAGTCTACCTCCACAAACTGCTGGGTTTCATTTCACTCTCAGTCCGCTGCCTCCTCCAGGTTCACGTTGCCTCTATTGACTACTTGGAGGTTAAACCCTTGTAATGGGAAAGGTACAAATCTGGGTATCGCCTCATGAAGCTCGTTGTAATGACTGGCAAACTCCAACAAATCGGTGTGCTGTACTAGTGATGAATTAACATGTTCTGTTTACATGACAACACTTACTAGTTGGATATGTTTGGTGGTGGAGGGTTTAAACGACATATTTATACATTTGCACGATCTAACCCAAAAATCCTATATTATGGGAAAGGCCTCTGAATGAAATGGAACTTAATTATCCTAAGCTCAATGATATGCATCTACTTGGTCTCGATTTGAATCAGTTTTGCTTAAAAAATCCACCCACACCTCCACATCCACAAATTTCTGGGAGTTGCCTCGCTCTGCCTCAGCGTCCACAGTCTCCTCCAGCTTCACGCTGCCTCCATCAACGTGAAGGTCGGATTTTGAAGTTGAATCTTCATCCTCACATTTCACTATCACTTCACTCTTTACCATCACTTCTTCGCTCTTCAACTTCACGGATTCATATTTCATTTTCACCTCTTGACATACTGCCTTCACTCCTGGCCACGTTTCATATCTCAAATATTTTTCTGGTTCTTGTTTCATGAGAGATGGACTCATTGCAGCACTTGGACTTTCACAAGCTGATTTCAAATTAATTTCCTGATTAATGGTTTGATGCTTATTTGGATCCCCCAACTGTCGAAAACCCTTCCCATTCACAGTGTACTTTAAGTGTTTATCTTCTGTGTGTGTTCGCTGGTGTTTTTTAAGATATGATGACTGTGCAAACGCCTTCCCACAAACAGTGCACTTGAAGGGTGTTTCTCCTGTGTGTATTCTCTGGTGTGTTTTAAGATGTGATGAATGTGCAAATGCCTTCCCACACACAGTGCACTTGAATGGAGTTTCTCCTGTGTGTGTTCTCTGGTGTGTTTTAAGATGTGATAACTCTGCAAACGCCTTCCCACACACAGTGCACTTGAAGGGTTTCTCTCCCGTGTGTGTTCTCTGGTGTGTTTTAAGATGTGATGACTGTGCAAATGCCTTCCCACACACAGTGCACTTGAAGGGTGTTTCTCCTGTGTGTATTCTCTGGTGTGTTTTAAGATGTGATAACTCTGCAAACGCCTTCCCACACACAGTGCACTTGAAGGGTTTCTCTCCCGTGTGTGTTCTCTGGTGGCCCTGAAGAATTGATGACCATGCAAACGCCTTCCCACACACAGTGCACATGAAGGGTGTTTCTCCTGTGTGTATCCTCTCGTGTGTTTTAAGATGTGATGACTGTGCAAACGCCTTCCCACACACAGTGCACTTGAAGGGTGTTTCTCCTGTGTGTATTCTCTGGTGTCTTTTAAGATGTGATGAATGTGCAAACGCCTTCCCACACACCGTGCACTTGAAGGGTGTTTCTCCTGTGTGTATTCTCTGGTGTGTTTTAAGATGTGATGAATGTGCAAACGCATTCCCACACACAGTGCACTTGAAGGGTGTTTCTCCTGTGTGTATTCTCTGGTGTGTTTTAAGATGTGATGAATGTGCAAACACCTTCCCACACACAGTGCACTTGAAGGGTGTTTCTCCTGTGTGTATTCTCTGGTGTGTTTTAAGATGTGATGAATGTGCAAATGCCTTCTCACACACAGTGCACTTGAAGGGTGTTTCTCCTGTGTGTATTCTCTGATGTCTTTTAAGATGTGATGACTGCGCAAAGGCCTTCCCACACACAGTGCACTTGAAGGGTGTTTCTCCTGTGTGTATTCTCTGGTGTGTTTTAAGATGTGATGACATTGCAAATGCCTTCTCACACACAGTGCATTTGAAGGGTTTCTCTCCCGTGTGTGTTCTCTGGTGGACCTGAAGAATTGATGAATGTACAAATGCCTTCCCACACACAGTGCACTTGAAGGGTTTCTCTCCCGCTGATTGTCTTCCCTCCATCTGACCAATTCTGTACAGCAAAGTGGCAGAGGAACTGGCAGCTGCAGACAGAAAACAGTAAAATCCACACAATGTAAGTCAGCACCGAAATGTATATATATACAGTCACACGTGATATTCACATATTACGTAGAAAAGAACACTCAAACAAATTAACGATAAAAAAAAATCACCCCCAATTCAACACACAGGCTGTTTAAAGGCACTTGCTACAATGATCAGCAACGGCAGAGGTATTGGTCATACCGTGTTTCAGATCTGCCTTGTGTTCACGAACGCGGTCCGAGACATGTCGTTTCGTTTCGCGGTCATTCGTTTCAGAAACGAAACGACACGTCTCGGACCGCGTTCGTGAACACAAGGCAGATCTGAAACACGGTAGGACCAATACCTCTGCCGTTGATAATAATTGTTTTAACGCTGTGAGCTCACACGAAATGGATTTTTCTAAGACGGAGGTACTCTGCAAACCTGAAGCCATCCAGATATATAAACACAGACACAACTTCAACCGAGAGGATGGGTACAAACTGAGCAATCATTGGAAGGACGTTATTAACCAGGTAAAGTCTTAACTGACTGTAATGTTTCCATCCTACCTGCCTATGTCAGCATATCAAGCTCGTGCATCTTTTTTGTTGTCCACATAATGCACGAGCTTGATACGCGGTGGTTTGGCTGCTGCAGCTCTTAACTATTAAAATTTCCCTCCATTTATTACTGCTAATCCTATTTCCCTCCCTTTATTACGGCTAATCCTACATAATATACTAGCATAATATGACTTTGAGACCCCCCACCACCTACACATTCCACAAGTAGTGACTAATCCCATATCTGCATTTTCCATAAATATGCTAAATTCCTCTATTGATATGTAAACTCCTTTGTCAAGGCTCTCTCCTCCTTCGACCCAGCTTAAAAATACGCTGCCAAGCTTAGCAGTGTTCATTAGGACGCTGTCTTTCCGACAGCCATTCTTCCCCTGAGGACGGCTGATTGCGTTGTGGCCGAAACGTCGTGATAATTTTATTTTATTATGTTTAATTTTTATTATTTTATTATTTCCCTTCTACGTGACTTTACCAAAAGAACCAAGAATATGGTCAATATACTTTACAGCAAAAAAAAACTTTACACTCTCACGCACTGGAACGGTGAAGGTGGTGTTTTGGCTAGGACCATGCCTGGCTGCCTTTCTCTGCTCAATACAGATGCTTATACTCTTCTCCAAGTACTTAACTTTGGAACAATCAATCCAGCAGAGGCCTACAATAAGTTAAGCTATCACTTATCAATCACGTTTGCTGTCAGCAATAATACAACTCTGAATGTTGGCTCCATAATGCAGTGGACGACCAAATGTGCCTCCGCTCCCCATGTAGATACACTTACATACAGATATGTTTCACATGGATCATTAACAGATTATATAAAGAAAACAGCCACCATTCACCACTAATTGGTAGTAACATCATCACAGTGGTCATGCCATGATAGGTGCGAATTGAGGCCATGTAAGTGTGGAGCACTTGCCAGTAGGTCATGGGAATGATTCAGGTGTCAAGGGATGACTGAGATGACTGTGCTACCCATTGTGCCAACTTGCTGCATTTTAGCCACCCAGCGCTCCACCCATTGATGTGTGTCCCTGCTCTGACCTCGTTGTTGCAGGACGAATGCCTCCAACTACCCTGCAGCGTCCTTCACGGGCCTCCTCCACAGAGGCCGATCTTCACACTTCTGGTACCAGTCATTGGCAAGTCCGATCACTTCCACATCTCCCAATCTTTCGATTTAAAGCTTTCGTGATTGCACGAACTAAACGGGTATGGCATGGGCTAGAGAAGAGATTGGGAGATCATCTTCTTGGTTTTTTCGGTAAAGTCACGTAGAAGTACGTCACGTAGAAGTACGTGACTTTACCGAAAAAACCAAGAAGATGATCTCCCAATCTCTTCTCTAGCCCATGCCATACCCGTTTAGTCCCTCGTATCTGAACTAAATTACGCTGCTTGAGCGTGCAGTTTCTGAGCATGTGGGATTCATGACCAACGAATGCAACCTTGCCTGCCAAAGAGGCTCACTGATTATATTCTGTACTGATATCTCAGGGATTTGTAAGCTTCGAATACCATCAAATCTGGCTCAATAGAGGACGAATCATAGGCAGGACAGCCTTAATTGTATAAGCCAGCACAGATGGTTCTTTAAAGGAGTCCATATTTCACATCCATAGAGAAAGGGGTCATAGCTGTGGGCAAGAAGATTCAGTGATTTGTATGGAGTAATGGTCCAGGCAGCTTCCTCATGTTGTATTTATGCCCCTTTTTCCAAATTCATATTAAGAATAATTCGGCCAATAATTTTTTAAAATAATAATAGGAAAAATTATATATATAAAACAGATACCCCCAAAACTCTCAACTCTACCCCTCACAAGCCACACCGAGCATCTGGAGGTCGTAAAAATTCCATTAAGCAACAAACTTCGGGGCAAAGAGGGGTTACAGACTATCTGGAAATCTCCAGATTGACAAAAGGCCTATGACCCCGACCTTCCCAAAGCGTTCAGGACAATTCACAATAAATATGCAGGGCCAGAGAAAACACACAATCTCAGAGCAGAGACAAACAACCTTACAACTCGCATCTTCCTTAACGACAAAGATTTGAAACTCAGCAAAAAGAACAAATCAACGTGATAAGACTGCAGTATACAATAGTAGCTTTATTATCAATTCCCTTATTTGACTCATATTCACCGCATATATATATTTTGTGTATCTTTCTATGTAACTTCACCAAATGAACCAAATACACGAGCCCCTGCCATCACGAAAAACTTAAGTCCAAACTAAAACTATTCCTCCAGCATCGAAATATGACTCAAAATAAACACCAATCCCTGGAGAGACTCATAACAAAGCTTGGCAAAACCCTCAAAATAATGATGTAACGAGGAGCATTACGAATATTGATTAAACATAAAACCGAATAATAACCACAATATATTAAGACCGGGGGTAACTCATAAGAGATACAAGGAATAAATCTAACACACAGGACCACATAATGTGTATCCCATAAAACCAAAGCCTCCCCCGGCCACCTTTGTCTTCCAACAATTCGACACAAACACATGCCAGCCATAAATACGTATGAAGGGGTCTCGAGATGACAAGCACTCAGAGGGAGTGGGGAGTCAAGAGGCCGCGGAGAGAGGGCATCTGGTTTTTTTTGTTTTTCTCTCGCAAAAGACGCGCAGAGAGGGGAGGGAATTTCACGTTCTTTGTTTTAAGCACAAACGCACATCACGCTTCAGTCTTGCTCCAGCCTTGCTCAGGCTTGCGGTGCCGTCGCGAGGGAGCAGGCACCGACACCGACCATGGGTGTCATGTCTCGCAGAGAGGAGTGACGGTGTGGTTAAGTGCTGGGTTCGGCATGAGCCGACAAAAGTATCGCTGAAAGTTTTATGCTACATTTACCCTGATGTGTTGAGTCGCTCACAATGTCAAGGATTGCGACAAGTGGTATTGTACTAAGCTTTCACAGTTGTTTAAGAGGTGTGCGAATACAACTGACAAACTTTGTGAGTGAGCGCCAGCAACAGCACCGAATTATCATCACCACCGACGCAAAAGAAGACTCCGCCACTCACCAAGGATGGCGATGCTTGCTGAGTAGCACATGCTATTCAGTGTGAGCTCAACGCTAACAGAAGTATCGCGACACCGAGCCGCTGCAGTGTGAGTGAGACTTGCGAAGATTCCAGTTATCGCTCGTGAAATAGCGAAAGCGCCCAACGTCAACCAGGCAACGAATGAGAGCATCATTCATCGCCAGAGAACCCGGAGCCGGAGAGCGCGCACAGCCGCGTCGCCAGGGTTGCGATTTCCGCATGGAAAATGCGGAAGGAGGGTTCAAATTTTCCCGCATTTTTGCTAAAGTCAACCGCAAACGGTGGAAAGACTACTCCTATGACCGCGCGCTTTTAACAACACGTTAATGCGTTCTATTGGAAAGGATACATGCAAGGCCCAGCATCGCGTAGGGCTTTGAGTTACTGATTGGAATGAATATATGATTTCCGCATTTCCGCACAAGAACCACATACTTTATTCAAATGCGGAGCCGTGATTACGAGCACATGTACTTTCACTTCTTCGCATTCCTCCAGCGCTTCATGTCGTCTTCGGCGTGAAAGATGCTGAGTTTTGGCTTGTCGCGGGCGCAAACTATAAGCGCGTTCAACTGCTTGCACGAGAGCAGCAACCACTCCTCGGGCTTGATGTTGTTTTGCAGAGAGAAAGCCCTCTCACAGCCGACCGACCTGTGCGCCAAAGTTTTAATCGTTAGCAGTAAAGTGTATATATTCGCAGGAGGTATAAAGTAGCTACGACAGAGGCAAATGAGCGTACGCTGGACGAGGATATTACCTGAGCGGAAACGCGTGTGTATCTGAGCGTATCGAAAACAGCGTGGGTATCTGAGCTCTTGGCCAAAATTACCAGTGGATTTCCCAACGCGCTGCAATCTGAGCGACGATGAATAGTTTTGCATATCGACAGAATATGAATAAAGAAAATGCTACAGTTTTTTTTTTTCCTTTGTCGCTACGAGTACTGCGAGGGCTCCGAATGGCAGACGCTAGGAGACATCATGGGGCTGGGCAAAAGGGCCTGAGCACAGCGCCGGGGGTTGCGTCGATCCGGAAAGATGCAACCGTAGGGATTCCTATCGGCGACAAACATGTCAACGGTGGCGTCGTGTACTTGTGGCAAGTGTGCTTCATCGACGGCATCGACAAGTACTTCGACGCACAAGAGCTCGCGGCTCTCATTGATTTTTTCACAGTTCGTGCGCACCAACAACGCTGTCTGAATGCAGGAATCCATAGTTCATATATACATATCGTTTTTTCCAGAAGTCAGCAGAGCCAAATGGGCATACGCAAGATATGTGCGCCAACCGCGCGAGTACGGCACCGAGAAAGGCGGGAATCGAAGTCACGATTTGCGGAAGTCTTCACAGGAATCAC